TTATCTGTATCAGATTTGACTTTATCAATATTTTATAATTATTATCGGTTCTTTGGATTCCAAATTATGTATAGGGAAATCGTGTTGAAACACTGAGGAAAGAAGTTGACCGTTGTGTCAAAATGGCAGAATTGATAGAATACAACTTAGAAGATGTTGATTCTGCTATATTAGCTGTTCGCGTATCTCTTGCAAAGGGAATGGGCTGGGAGGATCTTGCTCGGATGGTGAAGGATGAGAAGAAAGCCGGAAACCCTGTCGCTGGCTTAATTGACAAGCTCCATTTTGAAAAGAACTGCATGACATTGCTATTGAGCAATAATCTTGATGAAATGGATGATGATGAAAAGACACTTCCGGTGGATAAGGTGTTATTTCAGTACAAACTATGAGTAGTCTATTTTAAGCACTCCTGCTAAGAGTGGATCTTGAAACTCTTCATCTTTTGATTGTTGACTTTTTATTGTTAAATCTCAATTCATGTACATGATTATTCAATTTAGACATTATTGGTTTTGAGCTATGTCCCCTATTGATCTAAGTCTGTGCATGTAATGCATAGCATAAGATATAGCACTAATACTCATGACGTCTCTCTATTTATTTATGTTATATTTCCATAATTCCACTTTCAGGTAGAAGTTGATTTAGCACTTTCAGCACATGCCAATGCTCGGAGGTGGTATGAACTGAAGAAAAAGCTGGAGAGCAAGCAGGAAAAAACTGTTACTGCACATGAAAAAGCTTTTAGAGCGGCTGAGAAAAAGACTCGTCTCCAGCTTTCCCAGGTAGCTTAAAATTGTAAATACAGTGGAATTCTGGCCTACTATACTTTCTACTTTGCTAACTGTTAATTTACATAGGCATTGTGCATACAAGAAGCGTCTGCATTTTTTGTATTTAAAAACCCCAAAATTCATTGGTTCTCGCACTAGTGTGATGTATTGACTAGGCCAGGCAGCTTAAATTTCTTCTGATATCCTTAGATGTCTTCTGATGGATATCATGTCACAGGATAAAACTTGATAGGTTTACATTATTTAATGCAAGCAGTAATAGGATATATTGATTGCCAAATTGTACCACAAGACCATTTATTTCAGAATACCGTGCATGCTTGTGTGACCATGTCATAACTCATATAAGGTTTCCATATTTATTGTTGATCATCTATGATTATGCTACTTGTTTATTAATTGTTATCATAAAGTGGGTCATTCTGTCTTCTGAATTTTAATGTCTCTGTGTCTATTCTGGTGTTGAATGCAGGAAAAATCTGTTGCCAGTATATCACACATGCGCAAAGTTCACTGGTTTGAGAAATTTAATTGGTTCATCAGCAGCGAGAACTATTTGGTTATCAGCGGACGCGATGCTCAGCAAAATGAAATGATAGTCAAGCGATATATGTCAAAAGGAGATTTGTAAGTCTTTACTGTAATCTTTGGATTGTTAACAGAAGAAATATTATTTAGCGCTTTACTTGGAAGTTGATTAATCCTTAGTAACATTCAGATAGATCTCTTTTTGATACAAAGTCTGCAAGTATATGCTGTAGTGACATTCATTGAAAACATGGAACAGGTATGTCCATGCAGAGCTGCATGGAGCTTCTAGTACCGTGATAAAAAATCACAGGCCTGAACAACCTGTACCTCCTCTCACTTTAAATCAAGCTGGATGTTTTACAGTAAGTCGTTCCTCCAGTATCTGTTCATATCTATTTTATTTCATTGCATATTACTGAGGTGCACTGAAGTATATGTTACAGCATGCGTCAACTTCACAATTAAATTATATTGTGGTGTAGGTTTGCCACAGTCAAGCATGGGATTCAAAGATTGTCACTAGTGCTTGGTGGGTGTACCCCCACCAGGTCAGTAAAACTGCTCCTACAGGCGAATATCTTACAGTTGGGAGTTTCATGATCCGTGGGAAAAAGAATTTTCTTCCTCCACATCCTCTTATAATGGGCTTTGGGTTGTTGTTTCGCTTAGACGAGAGCTCTTTGGGCGCCCATTTAAATGAAAGGAGGGTTAGAGGTGAGGAGGAAGGAGTAAATGATGTTGAAGTAAGTCAGCCTCTCAAAGTAATCTCTGATTCAGAGTCAGAGGAGGACGAAGTTGCTGGAAAAAAACTTGCGTTAGAATCAGATAGCAATTTCAGTGACTTGACCGTCTCCAATACTCGTTTACATGAATCTTCTGTCCAAGATACTTCCCCTAATGGTGTCAATAATGAAAACGTATCTGTTGTTGTTGGAAATGGTGTTGCTTCGGTTACCCCGCAACTTGAGGATCTCATTGATAGAGCTCTTGGGCTTGGACCTACTTCTGTGTCCAGTAAAAATTATGGAGTTGAACGCTCACAAGTTGATTTGACCGAGGAACATCATGAAGATGGGAAAGCACTTGCAAGAGATAAACCTTATATTTCAAAAGCTGAGAGAAGGAAGCTCAAGAAAGGTCAGAGAAGTAGTACTGCAGAAGAAGTTCAGGAAAAGGAAGAATCAAAAGACAATGTTGTTTCTGTCGACCAACCGCAAAAGCATGTTCAAAGCAATAAGCAGGCTGGTGTGAAAATCAGTCGTGGTCAGAGGAATAAGCTTAAGAAGATGAAGGAAAAGTATGCCAATCAGGATGAGGAAGAAAGGAGCATTCGAATGGCTTTACTGGCTGTGAGCACAACTTTAACTATTTTACTTCTATTATTTAGCACCCAATTCAAATGTTCTTCAACCATGGCATGCACAATTTTCACACTCTCTCTCTCTCTCTCTCTCTCTCTCTGCATGTGTGTGTGTGTTTAAACACCAGATTTGGTGTAATAAACTTTTTGTTGCATTTTTGAAAAGATCCAGAAATAATATAAGCGTGGAGCTTTTCTGTGGCTGAAGCATGGTCTATTTAGTAGCCATCGTTCTCCTGCATAGAGGAGAATATAAGTTTGGATCCCACCTCTCCATAGCCATTGAATTGTCAAAGAGACTGAAATACAATATACTGAATTTTCTGCATATTCACTATGTTATTTAGACATGGCATCTCAACTAAATTAGCAGGGTTGTTTCAAATGTAATAGGATGTAGTTGTCATCTATGAAATTACGCTTCTCTAAAATCCTTATGAGAAGATAATGTGCAATGAGAACCTCCTGCTCTTGGAGATATCAAAATGTCCATTGAGATTATTTTCTTCTCAGGAATGACAATATTGCATCTGGTCAAGATATTATTTTGTTTATCAGCTAACACTTTGAAACTGTCAATGCATACGAATTTTTTAGTCTGCTGGAAATACACGCAAGAATGGAGATATTCAAAATGGAAACGAAGCTACTGATAAAGAGAAGATACCTGTAACCAGTATGTTTTCTGAACTTACGGTGATAATTTGGCAATGCCAGATTATTTTGATGTTTATTTGTCTTTTAATGCTATATCAAAGTACTTGATCATTTGTGCTTCCACAAAAGCTCCCTTAATTATGGTTATGGAGAATCCCATGTTGGGGAAAACATATTAAATTGTGATTTTTTGTGCTTTTTCAATCTGGCAGGTCCTGAAGATGCTCCGAAAGTATGTTATAAATGTAAAAAGCCAGGTCACCTATCTCGGGATTGCCCAGAACATCCTGATGACAGTTCAAATAGTCGTGCAAATGGTGCTGTAGATAAATCTCGTGTGGGTTTGGTTGATTCCATCTCTGAGGTGGAGAGGGTGGCCATGGAGGAGGAGGATATTCATGAGATAGGCGAAGAAGAGAGAGAGAAGTTAAATGACGTGGATTACTTGACTGGGAATCCACAGCCTAGCGATATACTCTTATATGCCGTGCCTGTCTGTGGTCCATACAGTGCAGTGCAGTCATACAAGTACCGCGTGAAGGTTATTCCTGGCACTGTGAAGAAAGGAAAAGGTAGCTCTTTTTCTAATATTTACCCATCACTGGGGAGCTATATGATTGTCCTGCTTAGAGGGTTTGGGGTTGAACTTTGCTTCTAGTTTCTCTTCTCCCCTTGCAATTCGGATTGTTTGTGTGCTTTGCATTTTACTTGTAGAAATTTGACTAATCTATGGATTTGATATCTTTCTAGCTGCAAAAACTGCCCTGAACTTATTTAGCCACATGCCAGAAGCAACTAGTAGAGAGAAAGAATTGATGAAAGCATGTACAGATCCCGAACTAGTAGCTGCAATTGTTGGCAATGTGAAGATCACTGCTGCAGGCCTTACGCAATTGAAGCAGAAGCAAAAGAAAGGTAAGAAGAACAGCAAAGGTGAAAGTAAGCAAAGCTAATCTCAAGTTTGAAGTTTGTAAAAGCCAAAGACCATATGCCTAGGACAATTTCCTTTATGAATCTGTGGAAAAAAATAAAATAAAATAAAATCATGTCTTGCAGTATAGCTGTTGCCGTGCCAGTATTGTACAAAAAAGAGTTGCATGAAGGATAATGTTAGTGAATGGAATTCTTGATAATTGTAGAACTTTTACAGGGAGGAAATTTCCATTTTAAACAGGATAGTGCCAAATGTTACGCAGTAGTATTTTTACTTATATATTATGGAGTTTAAGTTGGAATGTTTACCTGCTGGAAATAACAAGGCAGATGTCAGTAAGATTTTTGTTCTAATTTTCTAGCCCGAATGAAAAATGAGATTTTGAAAGTGTTAACTATCTAAGAAATTTTTAGGTAGACTTAGTCCACCACATGATTTTGTGTCTCTTGTTTTGGTTGGCCTAACCTATGGGTAATGTGGTAGACCTAATAATTTCTCCTCTTATTTGTATTTATTTATTTATTTTTATGGAATTTGCCTAATTGTGCTCTAGTAAACAGAAAGACTCAAAATCCTATTGCTACCCGCATTGTCAAGCACGCATAATACTTGATGAAAAACACCAAATTAAAAAGAAGGGCGATCTCTTAACTCATTTGTAAATGGGTTGCCATTTGAAGAATATTTTACACACAAAATACAAAAGCAGAACGCTTAAAACTCAATCAGATTCTTCCTCCAGCGTACCGTCAGACTCATCAGCAGGGGGGACATCACTCAGGTCTAAACCTTCTGCAGGTAAGTCTGAATTAAGCGGACCCAAGATCCCATCCGAGCTGAGAGTTAGTCCACTCTGTAGAAAAAGATACGATTATGGTAACCCACTAATTGTCTACATATCCAAATAATAGAAATTAAAAGGACAAAAACATATTCAAATAATAGAAAGGAAAAACACATTCGGGTAACTTCAGATGCCAATGAAGGAAAAAAAAAACTAATGAACCAGGATGTTTATATATATATATGCACAAAATGTCCTTAGATAAGTACCATCCAGCACCAGCAGAACAAGAATGTGAAAAGGAACAAGTGTTTTGTCTAATGCATAACATCCCAACTGACTGACCACATTCTATTATAGAAAAAATGTAAACTATTTTATAAGTTAAATTGGTTTAAATGAGGTTAATGCTCGTCATTCAAAACAAAAGCTACTGCTTAAATTCATTCACATTAATATTTTCCAGTTTGCTTCTATCTAATTTTGCGTGACAGGGAGAAATGAAAACAATGTTGCCTGCCTTCGTGCTGTCCTTTATAGTTTCATAGTTCAGACTAAATTTAAATGTCATCTGACAAAAAGACTGAAGAAGTACCTCAGGCTGGAATCTCAGCATGTCAGCACGTGCCATAGCCTCTGCCTGGGCAATTCTCTGCCTGAATGTCTGGGCCATCTCCTCAGCCTATTAATACAGTATGAATACAACATATGTCAGAGAAAGGATGAACAAATTTCTATCATCTTCTATACCTCTCCTCTTAAAGGACAAAAAGGTAATGATACTACAGCATAAAACATCTAGCTTCAAATTATGTGATCCAACACATGTGATGAGAAAGAAAGTTGCATGACAATATTCAAGAATTACCTTTTCAAAGACAAGCTTTGGATTACGAATCATATCACCCGGAGTAGGCTCCAATTTTTTGGTAGAAAGACTCACTCGGCCTCTCTCACGGTCATGGCTTAGAATCATGACCTGCATAACATAATATGGTTTAGATATATAGAAAAGGACAGAGGATACCCTCTTCGTAATATGGCAGTAAGTAACCAACCTTAAGAATATCACCAGGTTGAAGAACTGTTGCAATATCAGAGACACGATCATGACTAATCTGACTGACATGGAGAAGGCCATTGATTCCACCAATATCAATGAAGGCACCATATGGTTTGAGGCTCTGAACAGTTCCAGTGACAACCGATCCGATACCAAGCTGTGCCTGACTGTCAGCCATGGCCTTGCGGTTACTGAGGACAAGTCTAGACTGCTCCTCATCAACATCAACAAATTTCAACGGAAGCTCTTTATCAAGAAGTTCTTCTGCAGTTGATTTCTGATACAAAACAGGGAAAGAAGAGAATTTGGAATTGACTGAAAGAAGAGTCGCACAATACGGCAAGCCTGATTCAAGAACTAACCGATGATATCTGTGAGAAAGGGACAAATCCTCGAAGGCCTTCAACAACTGCAACTAATCCTCCTTTGTTTCCACCAACAACCTATATACATATTCCAATGTTCAGGATTTTGAAAATAAAAGAATTTAGCTATGATTTAAACACCACACATACAATTAAGAAAGACTTAAAAGCAGGCGATTGAAAACAAAGATTCATAACAAAAGAATTCACAGTTACCCAAGTCATCACACTGCAAATGAGTGGCAAAAAATTGATTAACCTGCAAGTACTAAAATTATAGCTCAATTTTTGCACCTTACCACCACCCAATTTAAAGTGCTGGACCAGACAATAATATGAAGATGAGGGAAATGCAGTCTTTGTACGAGTATAGATATAATTAATGTCAGGAGTGCAAATACCCACCTTACCCTTCACAATGACATCCTCAGCTTGAAGCTGCCTACACCTTTCCCAGGCAAGTTCATACTGGATTGACCTTAAGCTCAAGATTAAGCTATCATCAACTTCATTTTCACCAATGATTACAAACTCCTCTCTCATCCCAGGAACTATACCAGCCTCTTCCACGCGTTTTATTCTGTGAATGCTTGCCTCTTGCACCGGTAAATATGCGGAAGATTTTGCAGTAATGTCAACTAATGCCCCATTGTTATCAGTCATAAAAACTGTCCCTTTAACCTGATTAGAAAAACACAAACACAATGACAATCAAAATACTATCCTTCATGCACCAAATAATTGCCTAAATTTCACTTCATTTTTCTTTTGGGATTTTTTATATGATTGTGTTCGATTCCCTTGAATATTCGAGTAGTCAAAGTATATTGCACATGCTATTAAGAAGGAAAGCCACACTTATTAGAAACCATCAAGAAAAACAACGACAAATTAACCAACAAGCACTTGATCCGTTAACAAAATCATTCACTCAATTACAACATAATTAACAACTAACTTGTAGCCATTTTCACTCAATTTGAAAGAAGAAAGCTACAATCTTTCGTGGGGCCCACAATTCCATATCCCACATAATTCACATAAATTTCCTCATTCAAACATAACCCACCAAACAAACGCATCCCATTTTCAATTATCCATATCAAAACCGACAAAGATTCCATCTTTAAGAAGGCAAGATTCACAAACAAGATAAAAGGAAGTGAGGTTATGCTACTAACTCTGGTGCCAATCTCAGAATTGAAGTCATAAGTATCAAGAGCAGCATGAAAATCTTCAAGAGTAAAAGAAACTCCTTCCATAGGAGCAGTACGACACCGTTCGTAAGCTTCTTCAAAGAGTAGTTTAAGTTTCTGCCTCTCTTTGGTCTGTGCATTTGATACTGCCACCGCTTTTGCTGTTAAAACAAAGTTAACAGCCCTTTTTGCCTTTGAAAATGTTGCTGCTCTTTCCGTTAGTCTTGAAGTTGATATTGGTGGGCATCTCAGGCCTGCAAATTGCTGAGCCAATGATGCCATCTCTCTGTTTTTTTTTTTTTTCGAAGTTTTGGCCTTGGTGAAAGGAGCTTTCTTTAAGTTTTTAAGCTAGATAAGGCTACTATGGTTTTAATGCGTGCCCCGTTGTTTTAATGTCAATAGATGATCTGCGAAATGGACGGTCCAAAAATAAGGAGGTGCATGGGACGCAGTAGTATTGTACTAGGTTTCATTCATTTTGGGCTTCTTGCTTGGGTCTTCAAGCCTCTTCTTTTGGTTTAGAGTTTGAACTGTCAACTTTCTTCTTGGAACCAGAGTAGAGATGACCATCTGGTCCGGGCTAGTGAATACCTGTACGCCCATAAGGAAAAAAAAAAAAAAAAAAAAAACCTTGATTTTATTATGTTTTATTACATACAAATACGATAATTTTTATTAAGCATGTATATATATTAAAAATATTACGAACTTCCCACGAGAACATAAATCCAAACCTGGTTATTTAATACCTGACCAAGTTCCAAATGGGCACGGAGAAGTCCCTTGTCATCCATGAACCAGTGACAAGCTACGCACCAAATTAGCTTGGGTTGTTGGGCATCGAAAGCCTTCGTCCTTATTACTCCCTCCTCTGGTTTTTGGGCTTCCCAGGCGTACTTTCTAGTGTACCCAACATATTTTAACACTTTGGGCCTTCAAGAGGCCCCTCTTTGAAGTTTGAAGATAAAAGATATGCCATCAAGTGAGTTGATCAAACCTCAAATGTAACATTTTTCTTGTTTTTTTTCCTTGTAATTTTTGTTTGTCGTAGCTACCCGACTTTCTTGGGACTCTAAAAAATTTAAGATTTATTTGAAAATTTTGTTTGTTTTGGAAGATATGAGTTATTTATTAATTTCAAAGTCGTCACCTAGTATTTAAAAAAACTAAAAATGGACACTAGTGTAGAGATTTTAGAGTAAGGAGTTGGTTACGTTTTTTAAAAGACATCAATCACTCAAAAACGTCATTTTCCGAGAAAGGTATCATGTCTAACTTAGTCCAAAATTTTATCTTCTAAAATTTTGTATTTTTTTCCAAAATTAATCCTAGTCAAAATTTCAAGTTTTATTTCCTATGTCAAATTAAGTTTTTCATTTTTATTTGTAACATCATATTGAATTGATCGTCGGACCCCTTCGTTGGGCGTCACGTTAGTTTAATATCGGATCCAATTTAAGTCTCGACATAATTGGTATATCGGAGAATGACCTAATTACTAAAATGATTGATTTGGGCCAACATCGGTCCCCGTTGAATATGAGATTTTGTTAACTTTTTCCTAGTGTTTTGTATGTTCTTTTGCTTTTCTTTCTTTCTCTTTTCCCTAACATTTTTTTTTGTATTTTTTATTTTTTTATTGGTTGGGAATCGTCACCAATCCTTATAAATTAAGAGACTCGATAATTCATCTACCTATTAATTACCTAATTTAATTTATTAAAATAAATCCTAAATTAATAAAACCAATTCAAGGAAATTCAAAACATTAAATCTAAATTAAGAAAAAAATAATGCATACATAAAAAAAGATTCAAGATCAGCTTAATCTAAACAAGGATTGAAATTAAGACATTGGGCCTTTTTTGGATTAGTGGGCCATTTGGGCCTAGTGGGCCTTTGGCTCATTAGGCTAGGCCGATTAGGTCGGCTTCGTTGGAATCCTTTTCTCTTCTCCCCTTTTTTCTTGCGGACTAGGCTAAGCCTAATTCTACTATTCTCCATCTCTAGCCTAATCTCTCTTTTTCTTTCCTTTCCCTCTCTTTTCTTTCTTTCTCCTTTTCTCGTTTTTTGTTCTTTCTCACGTAAACATAGGAAATAAGCCCTGGAACTAAGGCTTACCGTAGAAACTAACTCGGCATATTCCTAAACCTAACTTTATTAGTGAATTTGGAATTCCAAACTCAAACAAACAGGGGAATGAATGATAGGACTAACAAAAAACAAAAGTAAAATTGAAAAATTGACCTAGGTTGCTCGAAAGGGGTGAGTATTGCTTTACAAGTTTGATTGATAACGATAGGGTTTCGAGTGTAGTTTTCCGAAAGCTAAGGAGTTTGTTGTTGGTGTCGAATGACTAGAAAAGCCACTTGAAGAATTGAGTTTCTAGTGTTATTGAAACCTAGAGAATCAATCAATTATTTTAGGTGTTCTTATTTGCAAAAAAAGAGCTTTATGTGTTTGAGATGTTTGAAAATAATATAAAATAGTATGATATAACAAGTATGAGAGTAGCCTTAGTTGAACTTCGGTATTCACTTTTGGTTTAATCACCGATCATCGATTAATTAATTAACTCATCCTAAAATGAATATTCATCATAAGACAACAACATGTATATTGACTCTAATTTTTCCTTACTTAGTTGTTAATTGAATATATGATACCTAATTAATTTCCTAGCTATTGAACAACCTATTAACTCGTTAGATAGATTTAATCTAATAATAACATTAAGATAAGAAAGACATGTGAAGCTAAACCACCTTCCTAAGCGTTAGAGAAGATATAACCTAGTTCTATATTTTTCAAATAATTGAACGAAAATATCACTAATCATCAACCTCGAGTTACTATCGCATGTAAGTTTAGATAAGCAATTACCTAGACTTGAATACTTAGCTAGTAATAACCAATATGAATAAAAAAAAATAGCATGTATTCTAATTAAATTAATCATACAACTATGAACCAATTATACGGAAAAATATAAAATACCCAATAAAGATAAGTTTAGAAATAAAACCAAGTAATCTCATAACAATTAACCAAAAACTTCAATTTGATTGAACTAAGAATGAAGTTTAGTTTCTAAGAATGGATTTTAGTTGTTCATAATGTAATAAAAAAAGAATTTCTATTAATGGTGGCTATAGAAGAGCTAACTAGAAAAAGATAAATAATATCCTAGCTTTGTTATTTATACCCAACACTAAGGTTACATCACTTTTTGTATCGGTATTACATTGTTTCACGGCTTGATATGTAAAGTCACATGGTTTGTTGCTTGATATCATATGGTTTGAAGCTTTGGAAATTAAGTTACACATGGCCATGTAACTTTATATACAAACCGTGTGAAAAACCTTCCGCCCCGTGTATACCATTTCTTCCTAGCCCCACTGGATGTGTAGTTTTACACTATAAATCTTGTAAAAAGCCTACCGCCCAAGTGATCTTCTTTTTTCCTTAAATGTTGTTGGGTTTAATCAACCACATGACCGTGTGGAATGCTTCCTCCGGATGTGTGGAAATGATTTTGCTCATTTGGTTTGCTATGTTTGAGATTCCATATGGTTTTCTCTTTCAAGTCACATGACCAATAGCTATTTCCTTCATTATTTCATATGGTTGTGTGAATCTTCTAAGCCTTTTTGAAGTTTTTCTTTTTTCTCCTTAGGTTTTGGGGTTTGCTTGTTTCGATTCATCGTTTTTTATACAAAACTCAAATCCATCATTTTGTTCTTAAACAACATAATATTATACAATAATGATTAGAAAGTTCAATTTATTAGAGTATAAAAATCATTCTAATTATGCACTCGTCAAGATGGCTAAATTATTAGAGGAAGCTTAAATGAAGCTAGCAAAGGCTTAAAAGAAATTAATGTAGACTTAAGCAAACTTAAGGTTAAAGAGGAAAAATTTATATCCAAATTAGGTTTAAATAGACCTAGTGCTCCATAATCCATAGGCACCTACCTGTAGTGAATGCCCACTTTCATCAATGCATTAAATAAGATAAGGGAGGAGGCTTCTGGCTTACATTCATTGCACGTCAAATATAGGTCAATACTCGGTAATACCCTTGTTCTATCTAGGTTTAAGGATGGAGGTGTTACATTAACTCTTATTGTCTGTTTGTCCGGATTTTGATTCTCATATTGACTTATAGATTTTATATTAAAGATGTTTTTCTTTTTTGTTTCTTTTGTCTTTTTTTTCACATTTCCTTTTTCTTTTTCTATCATTGTTGGGATTTTTTTTATAAAAATTATTTAGAGTTTCATCAATTATTTATAGACTTTGCATTCAACCCCTCGAGTGTGAGGGGTGATCCTAGTTTAAGTTATTATAAAAGAAATTATCAAGGCTCAAAGTGAGATGACAAGGGATAAGACTTTGTAAGATATATGAAAGATGGTTTTTCTTCTTCTCAAAATTTAATTTGCTTATGTGAATAAATGTTAATCTCTTTGAAAGATAATGATTAATTTAGAAAACCCTTAGGTTAACTTAAAAAAATGATGAATGTAACTTGGGATCATGACTTGAAGATGTAATATTCATCATTATTTAGGACACCACTCATTTGGTCTTTTAAATTTAGACTTCATGATAATTTTTTAGGCAAACTTTCCTTGGAGGGTTTAGTTAGAAAAAGAAAAAGTACTTTTTCTTAGTTTTGGTTTGGATAAAATGAGGGATTGCCCTTTTACTTTCATCTTAAAAAGATTATTAAGAAAAGGAGGGTGCATCTTTTACTTTAAAGAATTTGAGGATTATCTCTAGCATTTGTCCGTCATGTTTTAAAATTTGATCAATCTTTTGAATGTTTTTGAATAAATTTGCCATTATATTTCTCGATGGAGGAAGATGTAATGCCAAATAATAATTTTAAATAAACATCTCTTGATTTCGGATAAGACAATATGAAATTACAACAGAAAGTAAAATATTCTTTCATTTAAAGATACAACTTAATTCATGCTCAATCAAAATATTCAGTAAAATAGTATTCAAAATCCGATAAAAATTAAAGGACCAAACTTACAAATTACGAGCATGTATATTCTCTATAAATTTTAGACTCACTTAAATTTTTATCCCTTGTATTAGCAATTGTGTGGTATGGGAGTGGGTTCGTGTTCACGTTAGGAGCATGCGGACTACTATTAAAGGTGATCCAACCTTGCTTAATCAAGTCCAACAACTTCTTCTTAAAAGCAAGAAAATTATTAATTTTATGCCCAATAACACAAGAATGATATTCATATCTCTCA